GTGGTTAAAAGGCCTGGAGAATCCCACAGACTGACCTGTACAGGCTCTGGATTCACATTCAGCAGCTACCCTATGAACTGGGTCAGACAGGCTCCTGGAAAAGGACTGGAGTGGATTGCTCTCGTTTTAACTGATGGCAGTAGAACTTTCTACTCTCAGTCAGTCCAAGGTCATTTTACCATCTCCAGAGACAACAGCAGACAGCAGCTGTATCTGCAGATGAACAGTCTGAAGACTGAAGATTCTGCTGTTTATTATTGTGCTTGAGTAGCACAGTGAATTAAGTTGTTGGAGCTCCTGTAGAAAATCCTAATCCTAAATCATAATTGGTGTCTTTGGATGTGACATTTTACAGAATATTTTTAATAATTCTCTGTAAAGTCATCAACATCAGTCAGTGGCACCTAGAAGTCACCTCATTATACTCACAGTTAATAAAGCAGTTGTTTATTCATTTTGATGATCATTTCAGGCCTAATTTACTCAGGAGATGAGAATGCCAACAGTTTGAATTGTCACTGTCCTTTCAGTAACTTTCAATAATTCAAATTGTTTAGCTGAATTAAAATGTTATTTTTATTCTATCCATCCATCCATCCATCCATTTTCTTACTCTTGTCCAGTTCGGTGTAGCAGGGCCCTGAAGCCTATCCCACAGGGTGAGAGGTGGAGTATACCCTGGACAGGTCAGCAGGCTGTTGCAAGGCTATTCATTATATGTAATTTAACTGATTATGTATTTCCTACACTTCTTTATTGTTAGAGTTTAAAATGGCAAAAAAAATCTAAAACTGCAAATACTAAAGTTGCCAAAACCATCAGCACAGAATTAATAAAGTTATCTGTGCTTGGCTTTTTTTAGTCAATGTCCACAATAATTTAAATCTTTGGATAATTTTCAAAATGCTTCCGCTTACAGGAAATTAGAATGAGATCAGACTGGCCCAGTCTCTCTCAGGTTAAAAAACAAACAAACAAAAAAAACAAAACAACGTACTGCAGACACGGTTCCATGTAACACATGGGTTTATGAAATGAGCCAGAGGAGACTAGTTTTCTTCTCAAAGCCATTTCCTCCACACTTTACACATCAAGCAGCACAAAGTACGTCAAAGTCAAAAGCTTGGATGAAGAAAATTCTGACTTTTAATTCTGTGCTTGAGACACAAATACAGCCAGTAAAGAAAGTGGCAGAACTGCATAAACACTCCAGTCACCTGTTGTCAGCCTCTAGACTGACATTTAATATTTAACCCCTGAGTAGTGATTGGACTGCTTCACAGCAAAAAACACTACTATGAAGTAAAATTGAAAAAAAAAAGCAAACAAAAAAACCCTTGCAAATCAGAGAAAAAGCATCACACCAAAAAGGAGTAGGTGCAAATGCACAGTCCCTTTATTCAAATGGACATAATGCACTTCCTCATAACTGTGAAGTTTGTGGCTGCAACAGTGAGAGGACAGAGGAGATCAGTTCAGCTTCATCATCAACCATGTTCTCTGTACCTCTGATACTGCTGCTGGCTGCTGCATCATGTGAGAACCTTTGGGTTATTAACACTACTGAATACACCAGAAATTAGAAAGTTTAAATTGATCATTTAAATAATATTGATTTCTGTTCCCACAGGTGT